TCTCTATTTTGGCCGATTTCTACTCTTTCCAGCCGCCTCCTCAAGCCTGGTAGAGGCTACTAACAACACACCATTTCACAACATATTCCCTCAAATTCAATGCACCAGTTTAAAATTTTGTGCTCTCCTTGCCATGTGTGAAGTCAGCAACTCACTTATAAATGATAAGTCAAATAATATGAAGCGGAGTTCTCACCATGTGTCTTGACCATGTCGATGTCCTTGAAAATCGTCTCCTTTTTCCGTGAGGTACTAGTACTTGATCACAGCACGAGCGTCTGTCTGGTCCATTTTGTGAATTTCTCCTCACCTGCTGATTTTCTCACCTGAGTCATGTGCTACTTAATGAATATCAAGATTTGCATTTCTGCGGGCAAAAACTTAACACTTGGTACCGTGAATAATTTCATCAGGCTGATGAATGCACAGAATGATTGCACAGAACCAGTAAGATATAACTTCAGTGGACAGCGAACCAGTCATAATTGCCCTGATAAAGATGACAGGCGGTCATAGACACATCGGCTCTTTTTAAACAAGTGGTCGTGAATTAAAAAAAAACACTATTTTTGAAGACTTCAGATAGTATACAGTTCTATCCCAGGAGAAGTCTCGCCCCCATTGTCTCCAGTTGAGGCTGAGAACTGCTTAATCGCCTCTCGTATTTCTGTTACGTCTTAAATCGTATTTTTGTTCAGTGGTGCCTCTGATTTCGCCTTCCAAGTTTCATGGCGATTCACCCAAAGGATCTTGAGTTATCGCGGTAAACACATAACGTTACATACAAATATTACCAAAAACATAACCTTGCTTGGTGAAGGCTATTAGTATAGTCTTTGTTAGCGCCTTTAACCTACATCCGGGACCATATGACCATATGTCACGTAGAAATTCCGCCTTCGTCAAACAAGAGTTGGAAACCCCCGACTCCGTGCGCGCAAACTTCAGTACTATCTTCGCTAATGCAAGTTGTGCAGGGTAAGTACATGGGGTAAACATCTTTTACCCTTCCAACTTGAACTTAAGACTGTGTATGTAATGAATTTAGAGGTCATGAACCTAAAATAGGCGGTCGAAGAGACAGACAGTTAAAAGTCGCAAACTTAACGCCGTGCTTAACGATACACTTGTGTGGTGGGGTGCCTTCAAAAACAGCATCCATTACCGAATCCGGTTTGTTAAACATGGTAGCATTTATCCAATATTGCCATACCTTTATCACTTCCAAATTTTTCAGAACTATGTTCTTCAGGTAGACCACAAGCATGAGATTAAAGTGGACGATAGTACGTAAAGGTCACCATGGCACAATTCTTCGCTACAGATCGCTGACAGAGTATTAACGTTAGATACATGTTCGCAGGGAGAAAAGGTCACATACCATGCTTTCTTTGTTAAAATGAATAGGACGATAAGCATGTCGAAGTCTGGAGAAAAATAAAACTGTTTTATGAGTAACGTTACATGTACTCACAAGATGACCGTACTGGTTTCGCCCGATAGGAAACCAGGTCAACGGCAAATAAACTGGTAGGAGGGTAGTTACAATGCAAATACGACATTTGACCAAATTGGGGGAGGGGAGCTGGGGAGCTGTAGTTGTTAAACTACATCATAGACAACCATCTTATGTCACTGTGCATGATCCTATATCATACGTTTGTTTCTATAGATCCTATCTCAGCCATCTCCTGAAATATGGCCGACCTGTGGGCACGGATCTGGGCTAAGAAAGCGGCCCTTCTGCGCGACTTGGACCCTCAATATATGATGAACGAACTTCTACAACATGGCGTTTTGGACGACGACGAACACGACAAGGTGAAAAGGGGATGTAAAACCAGGTGAGGTATTTAAAAAACATGTTTTGTGAAGTCTGTCCATTAAAAGTTCACGTTCTAGAAAGGCTGACATTTGCTCGCAAGCAAATACAGCATATTTCACTCCATCATCGGAAAGTACATTCATGATCTAAGAATTGTGAAGAACAACTGGATGAGATGTAGAAATGCTGTCAATCCTTTTCATTATTATAGCATGTTATAACTTTCATAGGCGAGAAAGAGCAGAGGCCCTGCTAGACATTCTGAAAGGAAAAGGACCAGAGGAGTTAAAAGGTTTCGTGCACCAGCTGGATAGGTTCTATCACCACCTGGCAGAAGAGATTCGAACTGCAGGAAAAGAAGAAGTACAGAGAGGTAAGACACAATCTTGAACAATACATAGTTGGATTCTTATACATATTTGTATCAACCTTGATTCTAATATATTTGTTATATATTCTAGTTGTGTGGTATCTACAGACACAGTTTACTGCAGGTCACAATTGACATAATCTATAAATGGAGTAAAGAAAATCTATAAATGGTGTAAAGAAAGGCTGGTTCTGTGTTTTCAGCGATTCCGACACCAAGAAACTGTCGGTTAGAGTCGTCCACCCGGGATTCCCTCACGGTGGCCTGGGACCAGCTGGACGCCATACCAGGAGGGTCGGTGGAAGTGGCCATTTTTGCACACGGCAACGACCAAGAGCCTGTACAGCGTCAAGAAGTGGGCTGCGATCAGACCGTTGTCAGGACAGATGGACTGAGAGCTGGAACTAAGTACGACGCTCGAGTCCGGGTTGTCAGCGGGGAGCTACGGGGACCACAAGTGGTGATTGAGGCCAAGACTGGTAGGAGTTGATAAAGTTCTGAGTACTTATGATGTGTTTCACATTAAGTGGATTTGATACACACATCTTTTTTTTTTTACTGAGTGTATCATTGCTAGTCTGAGGATACTTGTTTTGCTTGGTACCACACATATGAATGTATGCTGCTGACATGATTTTTCTGTCATATGTTTACATAATCTGTAAGCAATGTAATGTTGAATTGCATTTTAATGCATTGAAATGTTTCTTCTTGTTCTAGAGAGCCTTTGGGCATCAATTCCATGGAAGTATATCCTGGTTAGCATTCTTGTTGCTGTTGTTGCTGTTGTTGCAGTCCTGGTGATTGTGTGGATAAAATCTACAGGTGAGGCTTTCAGGTGCATCAATGCACAAAAGTGATCTCAGTCTTTGAACTTTGTTAGCACCTCGAATCACATGGTGGCGCCTCCAGGGCAGCCCAGTACAAATACCATTTACTAATTCACCATTGCAGTTGTAGTAAGATATCACATTACATATATCACTGCAATTGTACCTAGAGCAAGCTGCTTTATCACCATAACTGTACTTAGCTTGTACATATAATAAACTTAAGGTATTTCCTTCATCTATTCATAATTCAGTAATACGGTAAAGAACATAGGTCTTGAATGTAAATACTAGATGTTAGCCTTTATGTAGTTTGTATGTCCTTGTTTTTACGGTCCAGGAAGATTAGCTGTGTACGACAGCTAATGGACTGAATAAAGTATCCAAGTATCCAGGTATGGAATAAGTATTGTCAACATTTGTACCAATGGGGAGCAACATGAAGAAGTCTAAAATTAACTTGTTTATATTATAATGTCCTTCTCTTTTCAGATGAAAGATGTCTCTATCCGAAGTATATCCTCAAGGATGCTGCCATGAAGACCAAGCCCCATTTATTTGGCAGAGAGGAAGACATTGCAAATCTAACCATAATCCTAGAGAAGAATAGTGTATGTCTGGTGAGTGGCCTGAGTGGGGTAGGAAAAACAGCACTGGTAAAGGAATACATGTATAGGAATAGCGACAATTATTCAGCTGGCATCATTTGGATAACATCATACGAACAAACCAACTTTCTATTCGTTGATGTGTTGCGCAAAGTAGAAGGTTGCGATCCAATAGTGTACGACTATCGGGATAAAAATTTTGAATGGATGGCTGAATACTTAAGCAAAACTTTACTTGTAAAGTATATAGGGAAGTTTCTTTTCATTTTTGACAATGTAGAAACTTCTAAGAATGCTACTGACATGTTGAAGATTGTACCAGACAAGTCGGCATATACCGTTAGCTCTCATGTGATCTTACTGTCCAGACGAGAACTTTCTCTTCCCCACTTGGAGAAGCTCCCAATGTTGAAGTTGCACCCTTTATCAGAAGAGGCTGCCATACAGCTTTACAAGTCACAAAATAAGTCTGACATGGGTTGGGCAGAAACTGATTATTTATTTCAAAGCCTGAGTGCCCGTATTTTCAACTTGGATTTGCAAGACATTGTTCATGGCCTTGGCTACCTACCACATGCTATAATCCACTACTACAAGGAGGCAGGAGAGATGCATCTAAACCATGGTGTACCTTATTCAGCATATAATTCCTCAGCACTGCTTTCTTTGAGTGTACTATCAGTTAGACTAGACCTGACAGGCTATGGAAAGAGTGAAAATCCAATAGTTGATGAAGTGATAATGTTACAGGAGGAGTGTCCAAAAGCTTACGACCTCCTGGTTGTGCTTTCGTTTTTCAGTCATGCAGAAAAAGTGCCAATGTATGTCTTTAAAGGTAAGGAGACTGGCTGGGAACACCCCACTTTTAAGGGAGAATCATACTATGAGATGGCAGAATGTTTAAAGAAACATTCGTTAATCAAATTTGACAACAGGCTATGTGAAATTACCTTGAATAGGATAGTGACTAATTCTGTTATGGACACACTGGACAGTGAGAAATCAGCAGAGCGCTATTTCTGGACAGCTCTAGAAATAGCAGTACGTGCAGTAGAGAGGATACAACAGTTAGTCTTGGCGTCTTCAGAAAATGACCCTGTAGACTGCAAAGGCACCACTAAAAAGCAGTTGACAGAGATGTTTTTTCGTGTATTAGGACACTCCCATACTGTTGCCCGTAGCAGTGTTCATATGGGACCAATTACTGGCAAGTACGGAAGTTGCTATGCAAAGTCTGTGCTATCTAATGGGTCATTTTCTTCATATCTCCAAACTGGTATCACAAAATCAGTAAGTTTCATCAATCCAGTCTTGAATATATCATCCTGGCCAGTGAAACTTACAACAAAAAGGTCTAATAATAATGAACTGATGTATGAGTATGAATGGCCAATAACTCCAATGGAAAGTTATGATGAAGACTATTTATGAAGAATATTTTCAGAAACCTTTGTCAATCTCACAGTTGTTTGATGTTATATTTCTATTAGACTTTGCTTTGTAGTTTGTTTTAGTAACAAACTGTAAATGTGTCAATGGCTCAAGTTTAGCACTACAATGTCTCGTTAACAAAAAAACTGCAATAAAAAACATCAATGTCATCTGTGTTAGCAGTTCCATGTTGAAAGTAAAACTTTTGTTCCAACAGAATGGATGGTTCTCACATAGAGTGTGTGGATTGTGTTCAGCACCAGGGACAGGTGTGTTTGCCTGTGTGTGGATGGTGTTCAGCACCAGGGACAGGTGTGTTTGCCTGTGTGTGGATGGTGTTCAGCACCAGGGACAGGTATGTTTGCCTGTGTGTGGATGGTGTTCAGCACCAAGGACAGGTATGTTTGCCTGCATGTGTGTTGATGGTGTTCAGCACCAGGGACAGGTATGTTTGCCTGTGTGTGGATGGTGTTCAGCATCAGGGACAGGTATGTTTGCCTGTGTGTGGATGGTGTTCTGCACCAGATTTCATGGTTGGATGAAACTGTGTGTGTACATGTGTGTGAGGGGCGCAGTTTATATCATGAGTTGGTAAAGTTTGTGGAAGAGTTGTTATTCTATCTGAAGGATAGTTAGATGGCCAAGAAAATGCACAAAAGTAACAACATTTAGTTCAAGGAAGCTTTGGAGTTTTAGGAAGAAATGATAATTAAGTTTTTCTTAAGACATAAAATAAACTTATCATGTACTAAGAATTGCCTAGAGCTCTATGACTATGAGCTTTGCAATTTCAAAATGGAAATTTTTAATGTAGTCTGACGTCATGCATTTCTAAATGCAGTTTGTACCCCATTTCCCCAAAGACAAGTTACAATGTTAGGGTGTGAGCTACATAGTAAGTCCATGCTCATCCCACAGATTGTAACTTCCAGAAGCCGGTGTACGTCACTCGCCGGTCCTCGGGAGTAAAAGGTTGGTCGTACGTGTAGAATAGAGTCGCATCCTGCAAAGATTTATACACGTCAGGTTTTATAAGATGGTTAAAAAGCTGTAGGTCTCTTCTAATACAAGACCTTTAGCTTTACGTTCCAACCATGAGGATGTCCATAACCAAAGGTATGTACTAATCATCCCTATTCGAGTGAGGAAATAGGCGTTTTTAGATTATTGCCATGAGAACACCTTGCCAGGTGAAGCTAAGTCATCGGGTGCATCCATAAGTATACCGGATGAACTCCAGGAAGAATCGTACAATCGTAATAAAAGCAAACAAGCCAGAAGTAAGAACACACCTTGTCAAACTGTAAGCCCGTCTCCTGTAGTTTGTGCTTGAGTGTTTCCAGTTGGAGGCTGAGTTGTGCTGACATCAGATGGCCCTTCAGTCTGATGATGTACATACTTGGTGTGACCACCTGTCTCAGCATCAACTGTGAGGAAGACATGTGGTGAGCAACCATCATCAGGAGCATCTGAGGTGTTCATTCTAAGCGTTGCCAGGTTTCAGTCTCACCTGATTTGCGTGACCCGTGCTCATCGAAATCGTGTTCAACTGCAAACTGATTCCAGCTACAGTCCTTGTATACGTAGCTCAATCAAAAGATGCAAGCTGACACCGAGATGTCAATGTATGGGTCTTTGGTAATTCTGTGGTTGCATGCCTTTTGTATTTGTTCTTCGAGTTCACTTGCACTGCTTCCACATTTTTGCATAGCCTTTATTGGCCAACTCCGCGGCCACTCGACGTACACGTTCTTGTGACTTAATACGTCTGAATGCTATAACTTATAGCATTCAGACGTGGCCCACATTAATCAAGCAACTTGTCAAGAAATTCACAAAAGCTAAATTGTTCCCGGATGGGTGACTGTGAGATGTTCTTAAACCTTGCCGCCACTTTGGATATACATTTGTACAATGTACATGTACACACAGTCACTTTTAATTCGGGACCTCATTCTTCACAAGTGCAGCAGCGACACCTAGCTACAGTGTTAAGTATTACCAGTTCGTATTAACGTTACCCAAACGAAGGTGATGGACGTTCACCAAAATGTCATCTACGTGTACAAAGCACTTTATTAAACTTACCCCTTGCTCGGTCGGTGTAGGCGCGTTCTTCCTCTGGTAATATTTTGGAAGAGGCGCACAAGCTTCCAGCTCCTCCTGGCAGCTTTCTGTGAACGGCTCATGCTCATTGGAGACATTCTTGTACTGAAAACAGAGGGTCTTATTATGTCTTACGCGACAATAGCATGCTAATGCAATGCATAGAACACTGTACTGTATCTTTATCTGTACATCCGGTAGAGTAACCAAAATTGGCATTTGGTGTAAAATACCAGCTTCGTAGGCACGTGGCACTGTGGCAGCTGACTATACTAGTACTACACGAAACGACCTGCTATACCTAACAATTCTAACGTGAGAAGAATCACCTGCATGACGACGGGCGCCATCATGTCCCCTAACCGAATCCCGGCGACGTTCTTCCCGCCAAAATATGCCGTCAGCGCCAGGAACACGTCACGTGGGTTGCCCGACTCACACCCGGCTGTTTTCGTGCAAACCCACTTTCCTATACGGGATACAGAACTAGATAAAATTTCTTAAATAGGCTGGGTCTTTCCTTGGTGCTGATTTTACTTCTCATTGGTACTGTAGCCGAAATTAACGTTAAGCTCCTATCACAGATTCGGAATCTTCCCCCGACCAGCAACCAACCAAGGTGGGCTGACTTTTTATACGAATCGAGACGAATTTGAGTTAAATGTTGGTCAAATTTCACCCCCGATAACACCCCGACCACTACCACTTCGGCTGTGTGTGACAGGGGCTTTACACTTCGACGGGTGTTAGATTATAGTCGTTATTTCAACTTTCCTGTATATACAAACGTAACATATGCACACACATACATTCACTGCACATATCACTCAAGTCTGCTCCTAAGTTTATAAAGTTCCTGTGCTTCTTTGGCCAAACTTCAACAGGCACTTGATAGTGAATTCTTTTCAGTTTTCCGTACGTTTTGCTACAAAAGGAGGGCTCTTTTCTATTGCTATAACAATACCGTTAACGTTACCTATGTTAAACCTGTACTCCGTGAAGCTGCCCCAGTCTCGCACTTTCTCGTGTAGAAAACACGCGTCGTTCTGACACACGTCATGCTGTACGTCATCGGCTTGGCTGTCCGCTAGGAGGAACAGCTGTGTGGGTAACTGTCAAACAAGGAAAAATAATAAAGGTAAATTAAGGTAGCCTCATGGCCTTTAAGAGTCTGTAAGAGCAGTGGGTTGTTGTTGGAATTGGTATTGAAAGACAGAGCTCATCCGTGTATCCAAGAACGTAAATTTGTTCTAGGCACGGTCTGGATACAGGTGGACTATCCCAAAACAGTCGGTTGGCCTTGCATTGAGTAAACTCGGGAAGCGTTGTGCTACTGAGAACGGTATGCTACTCGCACGTTCGTGCCTTACCTTTCTGAAGATAGCAAGCTCGTGCCACTCTTCTTCTTCTGCCGTCGTGTACAGCAGCTCGGCTATGATTTCCTAAGACAGAAGAAAGATGGATGCAGTACAATTTGTTAAAGGTAGAGGTGCTGAATTAGCAAATCATCAGAACGTTAGATTTAATTTGCTGTCGGCAGTTTCAAGAGGAAAAGTACAAAAATAGTAACACTCCATTTCCACTAGCCGGGTCCTTACCTTGACAGATCCTTCAACGAATTTCATAGACAAAGAGCGAATCAGGTCGGGAGCAAGGTCGGCTGTGGTTGGCTGGTGTTAGGAAGTAGGAGCATTTTGAGTGTGTTTTGAGAGGGTAGTGGACTAGAATTTAACTAAAGTTTGATTACTAGTAGTTTCGTATAGAAAAGTGGGCGTGGCCTAAATCTGGTCAGACTGCTCACGAACTTCAGCCAGACGTGGTCAGTTGGGGATGGTTCTGAATGTATGGCTCACCTTTTCATACCCTACGTCAAAGTGGTCCGGCATAGAGTTTATCTCTCTTGTGACGTTGTGAGCTAACTCGGACACGTACAGGTCCCGTGACAAGCCAGCCGCCCTGGTGTTAAAATGTAGGCTGAAAAATTTCACGTCTTCAACGGGTTCAGACACGTACACCTGGAATAAAATTATATTGTCATTTCCTAGGTTATGCGAGTGTAGTTGCCATTGCTTCTTGATCTAAAGGTTGGGAATTCGAAACCGAACCGTTGCCGCTCAACTGGCAAGCATTCATTCAGGAAGTGCCCCACTGTTCATTGTCATTGTGTTCTTGAAATAGAATCGTACAGTGCAATGAACCTGTAAATACTATACACACTCTGCATGCGTGATATAGATAAGGAAGACAAGTTCCTTAGTGAGTCAAGCTTTTTGAGATCACGTTTACTTTAAAACCGCGTTGTGTCGTCGATGTCCTTGATACTGAAAACTAGGTTACAATGTAGCTGTAACGTTATATACTGTACATAGCGGTTTTTTGTCATAACCAATGGAAGAGCAGCTCTTCTGTGAGCTAAACTGTTTCGAGTGAGTTAAACTACTTCGTGAACACCATACGGTGCAGGCACTGTCCTTGGCACTGAAACCTAGGTTACACGTTATATACTGTAACTAGCACCGTTACTGTCACAACGAGTGGAAAATTAGCTCTTCATTGACCTAAACTGGTTCGATACCACTTCCACTATGAACTAACCTGTGTGTCCACGGGTCTGGGAGGGCTGTTATGGTAAGTGGTCGGCAGGGGGAGACACACTGTGAACATTTTGTCGCAGGCGGGAGAACCGACTTCCGTCACGTTGTGCTGCAACATGAGTGCCGTAAACATTCTATTTGTCCAGTTTCTGCACGCACACACACACACACGCGCGCGCGTAGACACTAATACATACATACATACATACATACATACATACATACATACATACACACACGCACACACACACACACACACACACACACACACACACACACACACACACACACGTAGACACACACGTGCGCGCACAAGCATCACCTTAATCAAGATACTAACGATAGTTAAGACGGGTTGCAGCATGTCTATCGCAGTCCTGTCGTCGTTCCTGCCGTTGATGTAGTACAGCAGGCCGCTCATCGCCTTGTCCCGTCCTGACGCCGCCTCACACGACCGCTCCTGGGTACACACCCACCTGGCTAATGTTTGGTGGAGAAATCAGACAATTTAGTTGTATATTATTATACTTTATTTGCAGTTTCGTTGCTGTCTTCATAAGAGTGGCCAATGAGTAACAATATATCACTTAACTTCAGGGCAGGTTGAAAAAATGGGAAGGATAGAAAGAATAAAGAATAGATGGATAAAGGGAAGGGAAGGAAGAAAGAACGAAGTCAGTAAGGAAGAAAAGGAAGGAGAGAGAAGAGGAGGAAAAATTAAAAAAATTGTGAGAATAACAGAGCAGAACAAAGTAAGACAAACAATGCAAGTTTTGAAGACCAACATGCAACCTCGGCGATCACCTTCCAACCACAGACGACCTTGCGTACGACTAACTCCCTACCATAATCAGATCCAAGGTCAAAAGGCCACGGTCGGCTGTGTGTGACAGGAGCTTTACGTACTGTTGAGGAAGTGGGTTTCTTTAAAGTGGTCGAACGTCCGAGTGACCCTGTGGAGTGGACAGCGGGTTCTGGTACACGGGTGCTGCAGATGGAGGCTCGTAATGTCCGGTTCTTCAAACCTACAAGAAAGCATGAGTTGTTTGAAATTCTTGAGAAGTTGAGTGAATTTCTTCAGAATTTTTCGCTGATTCAGCATATGCATTTTCAACTTTCTTCCATAAGGCATCAGACATGAGAATAGTAGAAAACTAAAGATAGAGAATTAGGTAAAATCCCAACCTATACGGAGACCAATTTGACCTCCGCCTTGATATTCCGGTCAGTCTGTGGTTTCATCATTCCCCCTCACTTCGAATTCCTGCGACCCTATCGTATTCAAATGCCTAAGTGGTATGTGCTATCTTACCCGTGCAACCTCAACTTTCTACCAAAACCAGAGGTATGCCCAGAACAACCTTTATTGAACAGTCTTCATACCAGTCTTTGTGAAGAGTAAAATCGAGGTTGTGGTGGTTGTATGTACCGGTACTGCCTGTGTGGAGACACTGTCTCTCACTGTCCATGGCCTCCATAAACACCTAAACAAGACAAAATACGACACCGTAAATATCTAATTACAGACATCTTTATTGAATAGCAATATTCTTTATTCACAGCCACATATTTAACAAGAACCGACATTTCGATGACTGTTTATCATCTTAGGGCAGTTATAGTTGGGTAACTGTGCACTGAAGCTAACAATTCGGTCCCAAACGTAAAGTAATTCTGACATACACAGATATTGTTACAACAATAGTGAGATGTGCGGTTCCAAGTAAAAAGTATTCTAGTCACATTGATCTAGTACATGTTACGTGAGTTCGATAATGCCCTGTACACTTACCTCGTTGTGTCTGTCAAAGACACGAGATTGTACGTTGTACTCCACCGCCATCATGGTGTGGTCAGAGAATGGATCTTTCCGGTCAGTCAGAATCCTGGTCAGTTTCCGTCCTGCTTCCAACGACTCTTCCGCGCTGCCCGTCCCGCCGAAACACATCACGTACCCGGAGAGGTCACGGCAGCTAGAGCCAAAACTTTCCTATGGCAACAAGAAATTGGGGATTTTAGACCTCCGGAAAGTATTTAAGAGTTTGCAACGGTGGAGGTAATTGTATGATGTGATTTAATCGTCAACAACTTCCTGAATTCCTCCACATACTACCCAAGGTGGGTCATCTTCAGGTGGCTTAAATTGTCTGTCAATCAAGTTCTAGGAAAATACCGTTTTTTTTAACACCTCAATCCTTGGTTGATAACTCTGGCACTTGAAAGAATAACTATCTCTTGTTCTTTTCTGGGCTGGTATTAGATACTAGTACTTATGTGTGTATGCAGTACTAGTATATCGAACAAATTTTCTCTCACTGCTTTCCCCCGTGCCACTCCCCTGATGACGTCCCTCGGTACAGGTAGATAGGACATGTAGGTACGGCTGCACGGCCCTCCCCGCGGCCCCGACTGGACAACCCTCGTTACAACCGGCGAGAAGCGAGAAAAGTTCCTCCCTGGTGACGTCAGACCTTCCTCTGGAATAAACAGATTTCCTGAGTGAAAAGGGGCCTGAAGGGGTCTACTTCAGGTAAAAAGAACATTTCGTTGTGTAAAAAAACTTTTATTTCACGAACGTGGAATGTCACTAGGCAATATTCAGCAGGTATAGATGGTCTCCATTCCTCTCATAAGATAGCCCCATTCAGTGTCCAGAATCTCAACCCCTCACATGGGTCAGAAATTCCGGTGACTCAATTTTTTTTAGTTGGAGAACAGTTCATTTCTCATTATTAGCTTTACCAACTCATATGAATTTTCCTTCTAATGTAAGCCGATACCTTTTAACTTCTGGAACATGACCTTCTGTCCTTGTTGTCTGGCGCGTTCGAACTGGCACGTTAGCAGGTCGGCACGCAGGAACGGCCCGACGGTCGGGTAAGAACGCCGCTCGACACCGTGTCTGTCCTTACTCTGGACGGTGTACGTAGGACAATCTGGGCCTTGGAGAAACAACAACACAGCAGTCAGACTTTACCCCCTCTGGCGAAACTTACAAAACTGTATTGAGTGGGAGAGGGGAGATACATTACACAGCAAGACATAGACAAACTATGTTTTGGCCATGACTCAGCACCAGTTACTATGATGGCATCAATCTGATCCAAGTCATTGACCTTGCATGTTTGGAGAAGAAGAGGAAGAGGGGAATAAGAAACAAAGTAAAAGCAATATGTTTTTTGTAGAAGGTAAACATAACTATCATCATTGTCCTCACCGTAGCAGAACGTCGTGCCACAGTCCCGCCGCACCAAATCCGCGTTGATAGAAGCGCCCCCTGACGACCACAAACGCTCGCTGTGGCGAAGGCACCTGGGCAGTCGGAGCATTCGGCCCTCCGGCCCGTCCGTCCCGCGATAAAACTCGTCCAGCTCGGCATTTGTGGCGAAGATGGCCACCTCATAGCGTCGTGATAAGGTATTGCTGTTGATAAATGAATGCAGTTGTTGAGATGTCAATATGCCAAAAATTGACGTGAAGGAAGTTTTGTTAACACAATTCCGAGCCGAAAATGTATGGTATGACAATAGTCCAAAAGTCCCAAATTTTATAATTTTAAAGTGTTGCATGCCAAATCCTTGACTGCAATTACCTGTACCATGCCAAAACTTGGAAGTAAAAATTTAAACCACCACAAGCCTATTGACCATTTGCCAGCCTATTGGTCAAACATTGACCAACTCTGTATACGTACCGCCTACTCTACCGCCTACTCTATAGCAACTCTATACTGGCCTTGGCGACCATTTTCCTTAAGTTCCTACAGTGGTCACTATAGACAGGTTTGACTGTTACTGTACCTGTCATGTTGAAGTATGTAGTAATAGCCATCCCTCCGAACGATCGGTTCCCCGTTGGTTATCAGAAGATGAAGCAGTTTTTGAGCCTCCCGCTCGGCGCTGAACCTCGGGTCTCCTTTTCTCCGGAACGACTTCACATACAGGACCGTCTCCGGGATAATGTCTAGGACAACCTAAGGTGGCAAGGTGGGTTTGTGGTTAACGGTTGTCGTTTTGGAATTAAAAAAGGTTTGGGTTCGAATGCTGGGTAGGTCCCAATGCTGGGTACACATCACTTGTCGTTTTGTGTGGATGTGGCGTAACAAACTTGTAACGTTGTTGTAACTTGAGTGTGCGTCACATTGTCCTTCTTCTTTGTTTAACGCTAATAAAAAAACTGCTGGGTAGGCCCCAATGCCATGCCCTTTGGAAAGGCATTTCAAACTTATATCTTCACTCGACTCAGAGGAAAATGAGTACCCAGCTTCGGATAGGGCCGTCCTCTCGGATGACACGTAAAGCCGAAGGTCCTGTGTTTGAGAGCCACGCTTGGAGCACGTTAAAGTACCCACCACAGTTATCGAAAAGAGTAAAGGGTACTTCCCGGTGTGAGTGGATCAAACCTTACAGTCTAACACTATCTCTTACAAAATTATCTGCGGTTGTGAACTAACCGTTGGGTCCTCGGGCACAGGTGGACTGTTCCACTTGTCCCGGGGGAGGGGCAGGGACACCGTTACCTCCCGCAGGAAGACGGTCGGTGCGTAGGTTTGTGTTGTCAGCGGACCTTCCCTCATTATCCTCAAACCTGGAAAACGGTAGAAATGCGGTATGATACTTCGAAGTTTCTGTGTTCTTGGTAGTCCTCCGTTGTCGACAGACTGCCCAGTGTTGACGTCACACTTCCGAGAAGCCACGTGACAAGTCTCACTGGGTCAGTCTATTGAAGAAGAGAAGAGTGACTGGTCGAAAGCTCCAAGTGAGAACAATCCAACATGTTGGAACAAAGGCTTGAACTCTAAACAACGAATTTGATTGATTTTAAAATTTGAAACTTTACTATCATCTTACCTTGGTTGTTGTGGCCATGTAGATACCGCTGCAATTTCCACAGTGCGCGTGCGTGACCGCTGGTGGGAGACAGGTCCCAGACGGTAGTTGACACCCACAGTGATCTGCGCATGCGTCGCACATGGTACTCTGGATTCGAGCACAAGCACGTGTGCAAATGGTCGTTGACGTCACAAGGTAGCGTGCTAAAATGGGTCCAAAGTTCTATTTTGATTGAATGTGGGAAATTCAAAGTGACAATACGCTAATCTTTCCACAATAAATTTTTACCAAAAATATAGAGCCCCGGCCCCATTCAGGGCCGCATGTACGTGTACGCTTTGCCTTACACTGTGCCGTGTGTCTTCTCTCAATATCACATCGTAGAATCAACGTACATTTAGACTCTACTAGTAATTTTATACAGAGTACTGCCTTACATTGCACCTGTTATTATTTTAAACGATAGATTTTAACACTGTATACATGTTAACATCAGTTAAAACGCTATAATACTCGTTTTGGCTCTCCCTTGTTTAATATCAACTCATTATCTTTAGACTCTGTTCCGAGGGTAGAAATCCTGCATTTAGGCTATTTAGCCCATATGCAACAAAGATCGATCGATCGATCATTCATTCATATTCTTTTTTTATTCCAACAATTACCACATGGCATGGTGAAGGCACACGTGGGTTTATGCCGCCACCAACGCAGAGGACATTTTACCTGAGTTAAGTGGAGAAATCGTGTTAAGTGCCTTTCCCAAGGTCACAAGGTTGGGTGCATGGCTGGATTCGAACTCGGGGTGGCCCTCTTGGTTCAGAGCCGAACGCTCGCTCTGTCGTTACGCCACACAACCCCACCTCATCATTCATATCAATTCATTCATTGTTGTGCAGAAATAAACTTTGGCTTGAGACTGACTCACCTCGGTAGAGTGTCTGCCCGTGCCCGGCGCCCTCCTACCAGGAACACATTTAGCATCAGGCCAGCAAACAACACCGGTAGTCTCATCTCTTCCCGCTACTGTTACTGCACTCTCTGTGTGTCCGTATACCTAATGATGATGCGCCTACTAGCTGTATTTGGTGGCAGCGAGTGCTCCACTGTGCTCTAGACACCTGCTCACCACTCAATGACCAAGGCCGACGTGACACACGCAGCTAAAAATACTTCCTTCACCCCGGGGTTTGTCAACTTTTGGTGCAATTCAAGAGAGCGATAGCCTGGCAGCCAGACCATCTGATTAGGCTCTCCGGTATCTCTACGTTGCTGGGAATACTGCCCGTCTGTCCAGGTTCATTAGCACATGCCGAGGTGTTTTACGGGGACGCTTTTTGCCGAAAATTTACTCAGAGAGTTCGACTGGAAATTAGAAGATCTAAAATGTCAGGAGAGGCCTATGCTTAGTAGTACTGGGGCAGGTAAAACACCCCTAAAGGTCAGCCTGTGGAGAATAGTAACCAGGCTAGCGATCTGTGACCCAGAGAATCAAACAGTGGCACTGATAGCATGTAGAATTTACACAACACCTAGTCGGAGCCGTGGACAAATATTTCCCTACGGGATTATTTGGTGATCAGATGAACTCTTGATACAAAGGACAAAGTATAAAGTTCGCTATATTCACTCACCTCTCACCTGGATGTACTTAGTGTTTTGTGTAGTGTTGATAAATACAGCCTCGAGTGCGGAAAAGTTTTAATTATAAGTTATAATGTTAAACTATTGACTATTGACAGGCTAGCCTGTTACTAATGTCATTACTGGCCTGCTGAAGACGACAGACGGCCATCGAAACGTACTCTCCAAGCAGAGGTTGATGGTGGAAGACCGTTTGCTTTTTATATGACCCATTTTTACCGTTGGTGGTGGAAGCGACAAAAAGGGCCATATATGATATATAAAAAAGCAAATGATCTTCCACCATCAACCTCTGCTTGGAGAGTAATCGAAACGGACGTTGTGATTGTGAATAGAGAACTTCGTGCATTATTGCATCACACTGCCAAAAGGTGGTTTTAAGCGTATCTGATACTTCGGTAACAGATGTATAGATACGTACCACATATGCATGCCATTCTCTAACTACTAGTATTCCAGATAGATTAGGTCCCTGTCAAGTGATATTTCTTCTGGGCCCTGATCACGAAACAGCATGATTTCAAAATTCGCGCTCATAATCATTTAAAAGGTCAAAGGTCCCATACCCGGAAGTGCTCTGCAAAGCTTTGCTGGTCCACTTGTGAAAGGTACGTACGTCTACACCTTGATGCTGTCTCCTGTTTCCCCATGAACATAGGATTGATAATATTATCATACACAAGAGACATCTTTCTAATACAGTAACGTTAGATTTGAAACTACTGTCGTGTACAAGAAGGGGTCTGACGCACATGAGTTGCATGTGCACAAGCCACCCCCCTCCCCTTTTTGTGGAGTATGTCGATATTTTACCTCGTTGTTCCATGGGCTAGCCTACAGATGTACTTGTCAGGGCGCTCGGCCGAAACCTCAGTGTTATTAAAGTATGATCTACACAACTGTGACGAATCATTAACGATGAAAGCTCAACACTGTAGGTGCCTCTGTCAACAACTCCCCCATGTATCCGAGTCAAACTTAAAACTTGCTAGCCATGTGACGTTACATTTACAAATTACACAATGTATTGCTTCAATCACGACAAAACACGGTCGTCACCCAGCTCTTAGTGACTATGTGATGGCATCAGAGATGGCAGACTTCACCCTTTCATGTAGATCAGCAACACACACACACACACACACACACACACACACACACAATTTTACATACGGACATACACACATGTATACACACTAACAAGGCAGGAACAGTGGAACAGTACTTCACTTTCTTCTTTGTTGTTGTACAGCACCCCACCATGGGCCGAGTGCTGATCACAGGTGCGTCCGGCCTCCTGGGCCGTGCACTGATGCAGGAGTTCCAGGGCGCAACAGGATGGGAGGTACTCGGACTGGCCTACTCCCGGGCGGGGGGGAGTCTGAAGAAGGTGGACCTGCGGGACCCGGCAGCTGTCAGGGAGACTGTACAGGAATTCAAGGTATGCATGCAACGTGTATGATGGACCGCATTTAATGTTTGTTTCTAGGTTTGTCGTACAAAATCATCTGAGATATTCTGATCTACTCCAGATCTTCCTCATTAAGCAACCTGTTGGACAAATCCGTTCTTCTCGTCTGAGGGGGTGAAGTAACTATGTGCTGTTTTCCAGCCGGACGTCCTGATCCATTCTGCTGCCCAGAGAAGGCCTGATGTGGTGGAGAAGGATGAAGAGGCAACAAGGGTGCTGAATGTGGACGTGACAAGGACGGTAGCACAGGCTGCAGGTAAAGCCCCTGTCACACATGTACATTGTAGCAAAATGTGGCCTCCCAAACTCCCCGCATCCATGTTTAGGGGTAGGTTGGGAGCAAGGTCGGTTGTGGTTGGCTGGTGTTTGGTGAAGTTGGTTACTGTTTGGCTGTACCAGCCAAATGTTTCAAAATGTTTAAAACATTTAGGTGTGGATGCGAGGTTCAGCCATGGTTGGCTGGTGGTTAGAAGTAGGTCAGCAGTGTTGGGGAGTCAAATTTGATTCAACTTTGACTTAATTCCTAAAGAATCCTCCTGAACTTTACTAGTGGTTCATTGACACACTGCATGCCATGCACAACGTAGCAAAAGTTTGGATCCATTTCAGTTGATGTTGGTGCCTTCCTGGTGTTCATCAGCACTGACTACGTGTTTGACGGAAAGTCTCCGCCCCACAAGGTGACGGACCCTCCAAATCCCCTCAACAAATACGGCATCAGTAAGCTGGCTGGGGAGAGGACAGCCCTGGAGGTGGCCAAAGGTAAGGACACATCAATGGAGTAGCATGTGTAGTCCACTGGACCAAGAGATCATGAGTTTGAATCCTGACTGTGTCACTCATTTGCACCTGAGTTGCATGAGGAAATAGCTGTGAAGTGCCTACCACAGGTAAATGGCATGTGACACTAGGGTATACCAGGGATTTGAACCCAAAATCTTCATATTATGCATGTAAACCCTGAGCACAAGATCTTGCCAACCCGAAAGTCTAATGAATGTGAATAATATAATGTGACTATGGCTAAGCTAAACCAAGCACACAATTTCAGATACCTTTAAGGTACATTCTGTTTCCCTATCAGATGGTGCTGTGCTAAGAGTGCCCATCCTGTATGGACCTATAGAGACGGTCGACGAGAGTGCAGTAACAGTTCTCTTCAGCGCTGTGCAGAACTCAGAAAAGACAGCCAAGATGTCGGACTATGAGAGGAGGTACCCGACACACGTGGGCGATATCGCTGTGGTCTGCAGGCAGCTGGCAGAGAAAAGACTACAGGTGAGGAATACAGTCCAAACAGGGGTCCGATCAGAGATCTTATCGGATCCGAATATTTCATAGTGATGAAGAGTGAAAATACAGTGGTCAGATGCAAGTTTCTGTCCCAGTCTTGTGTTTATGTTTACCTTCACACAAGGAAAATATAGTATTTTTGTTTATTTATTCTTCTTCTACAAACTCCAGTCAATGACATGACTAAATGCCTCTTACCATGGTAACTGGTGCTGTAGCAATCACCTTTTGCTGTCAGCTTATATTACGTAAGTGGCAGGATAGAGTTGTAGGGGCTGGTCACTGTATATACTAGTAATTATATGAATGTGTTATTATTAGTAAGAGTAAACAGTAAGTATTTGTTTGTCTAGACCATGTGAAGATAAACATTATGCATTTGCTTTGCGAATGTCATCTTTCTACATATAGCGTCATCTTAACTTCAATCAAGAGATTGTGTGTAACACAGAATATCACTCCTTTGTGCAGGATCCCAGCCTACTGGGTGTTTTCCACTGGAGTGGAGACGAGGAGATGACCAAGTACACGATGGCCGTCACCATGGCAGAGGTGTTCAACCTCCCCTCCTCTCACCTGCTGGCCGACAAGGAGCCTTCAGGAGGAGCCCCTCGTCCTTACAACGCACACCTGGACGTCTCAAGACTCCAGGAGCTTGGGATCGGGAAGACTAGACCTTTTAAGGAGAGCATTAAGGAAGTGCTGCAGCCTTTCCTGAAGAAGTAATTGTTGGTGCAGCTAGTACTAGTATCTGCCTTTGTCAAAAATCTATAAAGTATATGCAGGCAAGCAATAAAAGCTTGTCAACTATTTCCATAGAAGTAATTCATTCCCAAAGAAGTAATTGCAAGCTACATATCTGTCTTTGTGAAAAATCTACAAAATATATGCAATGATGATGGTAGGCAATGAGAACTGAATGCTTTTAATGAGAGCTACAAATGTATTTCCATAAAAAAAGTACTTTTTGAAAAAAGCAGCAATGACAGAGAAAGTTGAATATTGAGGGTTTGCAATAAACAAAGGTGTTGGTTTGTACTGCGCTGATTTCAAAATGTTACAACGCTTGAAAAAAAGTTAAGCTTCAGGCTTCCTTACAGACCGCTATTCCTATCACGTCTAGCTGTACCATGATTTTTACTTTGATATGTCAGACATCCAAGACAATAAGACAGTCTGGCCAAATGGGCCTCTCAATCAGGAAAGAAGCCGAAACACCAGGTCCTATTAAAATACATGTACTGTACGGTACTGCTCTTTGGCAACGAATAACAACAGCTCTTAAGCTCTAAAGCTCAAAAGCTACTAGCATTAGAAACTTAGAAACAATATCAGCATTAGAGCTGACCTGCATATTTTGCGGCATTTGGTGACGTAAAGGGTTACACATTTGATCCAACAGGTGTAAGATGTCCAGTGCAAAATCGATTTTCTCAATCATTTTTCCTGTTAGTGGATCAAATTCTCAAACCCTACATTAGTGAAAGTAATAATATTTAAGCCATGATGAAAGAACAAAATAAAATTGTTAACCAGAGGCAGAAAAGTTAATCAAAAACTACAAAGGAGAATTTTTGTGCATGTTTTCTTTCGTCTCTAAGCAATCATGATTATTTCAAGCACTGCAAGGCCGCTAAAACAATCACTTACAAAATGTATAATCAAGGGGCTTTGTACTGTGATGAAAACGCCATTGTTTTTTGGCAACAATTACTGTCCTTCACTACACGGCCTACATGGAATGTCCACATCAGTGGAAACCTGACTTTCATCTCTTCCAAACATACTAGAGTCTGACTCATTGGAATAATGAGAATCACAACAATCTAAAATCTAATTCTACTCACTTGAGGGAGCAGAAACTGTGTGGTCACATATATATACATGTAAAGTTGGGGAACAAACCGCGCAGTCGTACCGTTGGATACGAAAGGCACAACAGCCAAAAGACTTCCTTGGCCTGACTTTGACCACTTGAGCTGATCTACGAGAGCCTGTGCCTGGATACAGTTCTTTAGGACACCGTTTCTCGGTAAGTTTTCATCTTATATCTATCAGAAATTTTGATGTGTAAAAAAAAAAGTTATAATTTGCATCTCTATGTTTCCTTTTTGGGGCAAGGGCTTTACCTGTTCTCGTTAAGACCATACATGTAGCTACACACTATAGTAAAATGGGGGTAACCAGGATCTGAACTGAGAATTGAGAAGAGACCTAGCAAAACTGAGATCTTCCATCCACTTTATCTAGAGAGAGGGAAGACATACTGTAAGTAGGAAGGGTGTCATTGTAGCAGATATACATTGTAACGTTACCTGGGACCGCGTGTGGCAAACAATAGTCTCTAGCAGACCAACTCCCCCTGCATTTTCTCTCTCTTTTTGGCCAATTTCTACTCTTTCCTGCCGCCTCCCGAAGCCTGGTAGAGGCTAGTATTCTGGGGGCTTATCATTGGCAGAGATTATCATTACCTTATCTTTCAAAATCATTCGTTTTTGGACGCCTAGACTTTCACTTAATCAAAAATTTGTTGAATAAGACTGGGTTCATAAAGCAGTCTGCTTTCACCAATAGGAAGGTAGTCAACATACACATGTATTTGTAACAGTACAAACCAGTGACTTGAAGGGCATCGTTTACATAAATTCAAAAAGAGAATGGGGCGTAAATTACGCTTGTGGGTATCCAAATGAAACTGAGGTTTTCCGTGATATTAGACAGACTGAATGGTTGGAGATGGTTACATACATGTAACTGACGTACATGTACATTTTGTATGTACCCACAATCTACCACTTAATTGATCAATTTTGGGTGGTTAATTCTATCAAAGGCTATCCATAGGATTGCTTGGACATTTCTTGGCATTTCAATGGGGACTAACTACTAACAGCTACATGTATTTTGATAATGATATTAGCGCATGTATGAAATTTTTGATTTTTTTGTTACTGCTGTACCTGCTGCAGCTCTTTTAAATTTGTTTCTCTCAACTGTAGTTATTGTTGGTGAAATCTCTGTTCATACATGTACATTGTACATGGATTCAGATTGTTTATATCTATGAATCGTTACATGTAGTTGTACAATGATTGTTAATTTTGTATGCCCGTCTACAATTGTAATCAGTATATTTTATGTTGTTCAGCATTAAGTACATGTCAATCTGTATGACTGGTCTCTTGATTTATGTAAAATTTTTCCTACATTTTCTTTTAGTGTCTTTGAAGCCAATACAGGCTAGGCAAAAAAATTGATTTATTTTTTCATTAATTTGTAAAAAAAAAATACTACCCATAACAAGGACATGTGCAGGGCTTAACACACATACCATTCACGTGACCCTTTTTAGCTTTGGAGGCTAATTGGTTGAAATTGCTCTTTGACAGATCAACAAAACTTTGGAGAATCACCAAGAAGAACCTTTGTTCTACAGAACAGTCAACTGTGCAGAACACAATAAGGTATGCAGGACTAGAGAGAATGGCTTGCATGTTTCCCAGAATACATGTAGATACTACAGTTTTTGTTGTTTTCTTTTTAGTAATATGCATCACAACTGACCCTTGTGCTTAACTGTATGACACTGCTGATAAGTCAATATTAAGTTTTCCTCACTCAATTTTTTTCAGTTGTTTTCCTATTACAGATTTTGAGATATAATCTCAACCAGTTACTGTTGTCAGGATAACCAAGTCATACTAAAAGAATTTTAAAAAGTGCATTTTAAAACAGCTAGCCTTATATATTGATGGTGCTCAGTTTTTTGGAGTACTTAATGTTGTTGATCAACCCGTTGTTGGTAAAATATGGTAATACCATGCAGGCTCTTGAATTTGATTTTTTTTAGTAGTCACAATACCCATGCTCTTGCTAACAGTTGCATATATACTGATTATATATATTTATACCTTTAGACTTGTATGCTACTGGAAAGGGTCACAGTCCTTCAATGTGGGACGTTAAGTCATGGTCAACTGTTCATTGCACTTGTCAAAAAGAGCTAAGGGGAATATCTACAGTAAAATGAATCTGTCAATACTGTATAATTTTATGCAATGTAGTGTCTGCACTGTCCATGAGACTGAGATAACTTTTACTAGTAATAGTACTTTCTCTTCTACAGACAGAATGCCTAACAAGCTGAAGAAACTGCTGGTTCTTCTGGTCATCATCCTGCACGAAACTGGATCAACCACACCCTGCAGCCAGAGCTGTTACCCATCCTGTGTGTGCAGCAGAAATTTAGGCCTCACCTCTGTTCCTGAGGATCTGTCAAAAAGTCTCACTTACCTTGACTTAAGTGGGAATGACATTGCAACCATTAGTCGAAAAACTTTATTAAGATACAGAAGATTGGAAAAATTGGTTCTGTCCTCAAACCAAATAATTGACATTCAGTCTGGTTCATTTCCAGTTCTACCACAGCTACTAGAGTTGTCCCTGAACTCTAACAAAATAACTAACATCCAACGTGGCGCATTCTCAAACATACCTCGGCTTCAAAAGTTGTTCCTGTCCTCTAACCGAATAACTAACATCCAGCATGGTGTATTTACAAGCCTAGCGCAGCTTCAAGAGTTGTCCCTGTCCTCTAACCAAATAACTAACATCCAGCGTGGTGCATTCAAAAACCTACCACAGCTTCAAAAGTTGTTCCTGTCCTCTAACCGAATAACTAACATCCAACGTGGCACATTCTTAAACCTACCACAGCTTCAAAAGTTGTTCCTGTCCTCTAACCGAATAACTTTCATCCAGCATGGTGCATTTAGAAACCTAGCGCAGCTTCAAGAGTTGTCCCTGTCCCAGAACCAAATCCAGCATGTCGAAATCTCAAACCTACCACAGCTTCAAAACTTGAATCTGGCCCGTAACCAAATAACAAACATCCGGCATGGTGTATTTAGAAACCTACCACAGCTTCAAAACTTGAATCTGAAAAATAACCAAATAAGTAACATCCAGCTTAGTGCATTCTCAAATCTACTACAGCTGCAGTCATTGTACCTGAATGGCAACAGAATAAAAACCATTCAGTCTGATGCACTTTCAAACCTACCCCAGTTACAAACGTTGCAATTGCACTCCAACCAGATGGAGACACTTTCCTCAACAGCCTATTCCATGCTGTCATCAATCTCTTCCGTAACAATGCAGTGGAACCCCTGGCAGTGTGACTGTAGGATGCTTCCGTTTCGCCTTCAGATGAATGGGTCTCATTCATTTGAAAATCACATGACATGTTCCAAACCTGATAACTTGCAAGGGCAGAAGCTGAAAGATATCAATCCTGAAGATTTCTGCAAAGAGCCAACCATTCGCAGCTTTCACAGGGTTGACAATGACACATTGGTGCAGGGCGAGACTCTCCATTTGGTTTGTGAAGCGTCAGGTATGCCTAAACCAGACGTCACAGTCACCTTCCCATCTGGACTGAATACAACTGTTGAGTCAGGAGGGAGGGTGACTGTGGAGGTGAAGAATACCACAGCTACAGTCACCATAACAGGTGTTACTGCAGCAGATGCTGGTCAGTACACCTGTATTGCAACAAACCCAGCTGGCTCTGCATCTGCCACACTCTCTGTCAATGTCCACCTGAAAGTTCCTACAACTACTGCAAAATTGAATGCTCCACCACTCACTGATACTTTAACCCATCCCATGGTCACGAGCAACAGTAATCTTGCATCTTCTGCTACTTTCTCCCCACCTGTACCTGTTGGCTCTACACCTTCAGAACACCTCTTATCTTCTCCCAGTTCCTCCCTACCTGGCTCTACACCAGGTCCTTCACAACACCTTGTGTCTTCTAAGACTTCCTCCCTTTCCATAAATACTAGCTCTACGCCTTCAGATCAGACAGAATCGGATCCCACTTTCTCTGTACCTGTCCTTGTCCATTCTTCACCTCCAAAGGAACCTGAATCTAATCCCAATCCGACCCTGTCTGTTCTCATTGCCACCATGGCTGGTGCAGCTGCCGTCATATGTTTCATCGTTCTAACACTCTGTTGGAAGAGGTGGACCAGGAATCGATCTACTGTTGCCCCAGACCCCGGTGTTGTGTACAACAGTACAGACACCACACCTGGTGTTGTGTACAACAGTACAGACACCACAGCTGGTGTTGTGTACAACAGTACAGACACCACACCTGGTGTTGTGTACAACAGTACAGACACCACACCTGGTGTTGTGTACAACAGTACAGACACCACAGCTACTGTAACAACCGGTGGTCATGACCAGATGCAGCATCAAAATGCTGATGCCTGATGATTTGACAGGTCATTAAGACACAGTCACCCCCCATGTCTGCTACTTTCTACATGTGTCAATATGTAGTATCATATTCCAAAAGCTCAGCTTTTTGAAACTACATAATTGTATACAATGTACAGTATGTACCAAGATACACTTCTGAAGCTCTATTCTCCAGTGTGAATATATTTAGCCAGTGCCTATGAGCATGTGAATTCTCATCTTGTAGTAAGATTAAAGCCCGGATGTGCAAAAGGTTGGAAAAGTGCATGGCATTGTACACTGTAAATTGAACTTGCACTTCTCGTCATGGAATGGACTGCATATGAATGAGGTGATGGGCTGATAGAAAGCTGATAGTCAGATTTTAATTAGTTTGTAATTTTATTAGCAACATATGGCTTAATTGTGTATGACATCATCAAGTAGGCTGATAGCCAGAGCTTGATGTAATTACATGTTGTTGTTAGTTGTTGTTGTTAGTGTGATATTACTAACTTGACTGATAGAGTTTAATCAGCGTGTGTTATTATTACTTTGGCTGATGGACAGATCTTAATCAGTATCATCATTAACTATGCTGATGAACATAATCTTAATCAGTGTATCAGTGTGTTATTATTAACGGCAACTTATGGGTTGATAGAGGCAACATTCTACATATGTATCTAGGTTGATACTAATGATAGAGCTTTATCGGCATTTGTGTATTATTAACTCGGCTGATAGAACTTAATCAGTACATTATTATTAATTTGGCAGATGGACAAACTTCAGTGTCAATCGTTTTTAACTAGTGAGTGTTATTATTAAGACTGTAGGCTGTATATATAGTTTGTGTGTTGCTGTGTATAATTAACTTGGGTGATGGACAGGGTTTAATGATTATTTGATAGGATTTAAGATTCAGAGTGTTCAGGCTTTAATTTGCATGTTCATACTGCCCTTGTTATTGATTGTAACACATGCTTTAGGCTAATAATACAACTTCATGCAACTTGTTGAATAAACTAAAGAAATGTCACATTGTAGACATCTTTCCTGTAAATTCACACTAAAATGCCTATTATATAAGAACATTAATTTGCCAATAGCATAGCTGTTTTGCTTGCCCTACTCAAAGGGACAGACAATTCATTTTCTCCCAGTAATTTGCAATCTATACACACATAGCTTCATTTGTGTAGTTCACTGTGACTAGCAGGAGTCTTGACATCTACACATATACAAGATGTATCTAAAAGAATACCGTTTATGATTATCTTTCACTTGTACCCCTTACTTCCACCTTTCTACCAGGATTGACAGTGACAGACATATTTCTATAGCCCGGAACACAGACCGGATTGCTCACAATGGATAAAGGGGTTATCACACAATACATTGTGTACATATATATTATATGTATTGTAAAGCAACAACATTTCTCCTAACGAACCATAGTTCACATGTACCCTCCCACCTCCACCTCCCTGCCAGGGTACACAGCCACAGACATGTTCCCATACCCCGGCACCTGAACACACTGGTTGTTGACCATGACTAGGGGGGTCTGACAGGTACACTGGTAAACCCCGGGGGCATGACGCTGGCAGAGGGATCCTTCCGGACACAGCTCCAGGTCCAACTCACAGTAGTTCAGGTCTACAGAAAATACAGGATTGTAGCGTTAGTAAAAATGTCTTGAATTTCATACATGTATATCCCATAAAAGGACGATAATCTATTGCACAAAAATGTTAGTAAAACACACACAAATGCACAGAAAACAAAGCCTGTGCACTGAGGTAAGAGACTTACCCAGCAGGTAGAGGCCGTCTGAATCCTTGTTGCTCCACCTTATCCATCCGGAGGGACGACTCATGGACATTTTCAGCATCCCATTACTGTTGAACCCTGAAACATAGGGGGACATTGTTACTTCAACTGCTTCTACTACCACTACTACTACTACTACTACAACTACAATACTACCCAGTAGTATCCAGCTGTTGTAATTCCGCCAAAAATAATAAAGCCAGGAGATCTAGGTCTCACCGATACACTGTGGGATGTCCAAGCAGATGGACTGCAGCTGTTTGGGTTGTCCTCGGAACTGTTCGGCCACCATGAAGTCTCCTCCCAGAGAATCCATGCCCTGAGTGTGATGAACAAGACTCTTACACAGTCAATAAATGAGAGAAGGAAGGAGAGGACAAGTTAAGATTAGAAAGACCAATGAACCAACCAACCAACCAACCAACCAACCAAACCAACCAACCAACCAACCAACCAACCAACCAACCAACCAGGCAAGAGACATAACTACCGGTAAATAAAAAAATGAATGAATGAATGAATGAAAGGAAAATGAATGGTGCTATGCAGGGTTGAATCTTGGTTAAACTTCACAATAAAGCCAAGATTCATTCCCTATTTACCTCCCAATTGACCACCCAATTGTACCATTTGCCTCAACAGGAGCAAAATGGTACAATTGGGTAGTCAATTTGACCATCCCCTGCCCCAAAAGAAATCTGCTTGGAGATTGCTTAGAGATGAAAACTCCCCCCACCTGGAAGAAGACAAACTGGGCTGCAGTCTTCATGTCCTGCAGGTTGATTCCGTTGAAGACACTGATGAGACCGTCTCGTCTCACCTCCAAAGGAAGGGGTTCATCGGGGTTGTACCTGGAGGGGAGGGGAGGGGTTACAGTCAAACCTGTACTAGTGACCACCTCTTCATAAGGATCATCTGGCCATTGACATACAGTCAAACCTGTACAAGTGACCACCTGGTCACTAATATACAGTCAAACTTGTACTAGTGACCACCTCTACATACATGTATAGACCACCTGGCCATTGACTTTATTAAAGTTTATACATTTGTACAATGTACAAAGATCACCTGGCCTTTGATATACAGTCTAACCTGTACTAGTGACCACCTTTTGAAATGAACACCTGGACATTGTAGTGGTTACAGACAAACCTGTACTGGTGTTATAGTTACCTGGGGAGGCAGGTTTGTCCGTTGCCATAGTAACCATCCCTACAGGTGCACCTGAACTGGGCGGGGCCAGTCTTGTTGCAGAAGGCATGCTCGTCACAGTCATGCAGATCTGCCGCACACATGTCCACATCTGCAAAACAAGACTTCGTTCATACCATATACAGTATATACAGCTGTAGCAGCCTTGTGCTTAGGGTTCTAAAGGTTCTCGGTTCAAATCCCTAGCAAGTCGTTATGTTGTATCCTGGGGAAAGACAAATTAACACCCTTTTTTCTCACTTGACTCAGCTCAAAATGTGTGTGCGTTTGAGCTGTGTGTTTGTGAGAGTGTTTGCATGCATATTGCCATTTTTTTTGCTGAAGGGGCAGATCTGAACTACCGGTATTCGCTCACAAAGATGTACTCTGACACGACTCTATTGACTTTGTTGGTACCCTTCTCAAACTGTTCAAATTCTAGTACAATGTACAAGGTGCAACTATATTGAAAAAATAACACTGCACTAAGATTTATTCTTGTTAATATTCCAAGTTCGATTCCTGCCCTGTTTTGTTTTGTCTTCATGGTTACCAGTAAATCCTCTGGCCCGACTTCAAACAAAAAGGATTTTTTCCAAGCCAATGCTTTCTATCTGCATCACTTGTATAATTCTTTGGAAAAATTAGGCAACATTCTTGCTAGGGCCACATCAATTTAATTGGTTGCTTTTCGGATTCCAAAATAACAGTACTGTTCTGGCATAGAAGATGCGATCCCCTAGCCTGAGTGTCAGCCTTGCTAGCTTTCATCCGCTACCCAAGATCCGCTCCCCACGCGGATCTTGGGTAGTGGACGAAAGCTAACAAGGCTGACACTCAGGCTAGCGATCCCCTGTTCCAACACCTCCATGTTATGAATTTCCTATATTCCGATGCCCCAATCTTCTGACACCACCATATTCTTACACCCATATGATCCGACATCCCCTTGTTCTGACATCCACATGTTCTAACACTGACATGAACCCCAGGCCTGACAACCTTGAGCATACATGTAGGGGTGTCCCCGGGGATGAATACAGTCAGCTAAAGATATTCCACCCAGCCTGATATTTCTAACATGTCCTGTAACAATCATGATTTTTTTCCTTAAAACGCCAGAGAACCAAGGAAATAAGTTGGTGTACAGATTGCTGTCAAAGCCAGATAGGAAACATGTAGAGCCAGAAAAGTGAATTATATGCTACAAAGAAGGGTTCTAAGCAATTAGGATTGTGATTATTTCAACCATACCGTCAAAATGATCAGTTACAAATCATGTGGCTTTGTACGTTAATGAAAATGCCGCAATAATTACCCACCTTGAGTATGCAGCCTACTTGGAATGTCAACAACAGACTATGATCTTTCATCTTTCAACTTTCATCTCCTCCAAACATACTAGAGTCTGGCTCATTGGAACAACTTTAATCACAGCAAACTAAAATCTAATTCTACTCACTTGAGGGAGCAGAAACTGTGTGGCCATATATATATACAGTTGGGGAACAACAAACCACACAGTTGTATACAGTTGGATATGCCAGGCTCAACATTCACAGGACTTCCTTGGCTTAACTGGGACCACTTGAGCTGACTTCTCAGTAAATTCTACGGGAGTCAAGAAAATTAGTTCAACTTGTTGCTATGAGGACTTCTCAGATGGGAAATATATATAACTGCTGTTAAGGGTCAGAAAAGTGAATCATATGCTACAAAGAAGGGTTCTACGCAATCGGGATTATGATTATTTCAACCATTCCGTGAAAATGATCAGTTACAAATCATGTGGCTTTGTACATTAAAGAAAACGCCACAATTACTAACCTTAACTACGCAGCCTGTCTTGGAATGCCAACATCGGAAACTGACTTTCATCTCTTCTAAACATACAGACCTGAGTCTGACTTATTGGATCAACTTTAATCACAGCAAGCTAAAATCTAATTCTACTCACTTGAGGGAGCAGATACTGTGTGGGCATATATATATATAGTTGGGGAACAAACTGCGCAGTTGTACATTTGGCTACGGCAGGTACAACAGCCACCAGACTTTCTTGGCTTGTCTCAGATCACTTGAGCTGACTTCTAAGTACACTCTACGGGAGTTTGTGTCTGGATACAGTTCTTGAGTACACTGTTTCTCGGTAAGTCTTTTCTTACATCTGTCAGACATTTCAATGGTGATAGTTTGTATTTTAATGTCTCCTTTTTGGGGCAAGGGCTTGACATGTTCTCGTGGAGACATAACCTACATGTAGAAGGATATTTTAAAGTTACATTTTAAAGTTGTTATTAAGGTGGACACTGATAAGGAAACATACAATTCAGCCTCCGGGCTGCAAAATGTTTTTAATCAATAAACCAGTCATATAACCATACAACACACAAAAATATACTTTTTATACACGTCATATATACAGTTGGGGAACAACCCGGACAGCTGTACAGTTAGACACGCCGGGCACAGCAGCCACAGGACTTCCTTGCCTGGGACCACTTGAGCTGCCTTCTCAGTACAATCTACAAGAGTTTGTGTCTGGATACATTTCTTTTGGACACTGTTTCTCGGTAAGTCTTCTTCATCTTACATCTATCATGTCTATCTGATTCTTTGATTTGTAAAAAAAGGTGACAAGTCTTTTTCCTTTCTTGGGGAGTGATTTTCAAGAATAGGCCATATCTATAAATAGCAGTAAAAGAACATGTATCTGAACTTACAACTTTCATACAGTAGGCCTGGCCCTGGGCAAAGAAAAGACTTTTGCACCTTTCAAAAACATGTAGTAACATTTATTTAATATCTAAATTGATGTTGCACCAAGTAAACAGTAGTGCCAAAGGGTGCTGAATTACATACATGTACTTATTATAAATGTTACAGTAGGTTGAAAACTTTACATTCTATATATATAAGCAAGATCTGCGCATAGGAGATTCAGTTTCCAAATTTGTTTTGTACGCACGTGCGTGAAATAGGGGATAGGGCTTTTTCTATGTCGATTTATTTTGGATAGCAAGTAGAAGAGCTGGCTACATGTAGACTCTTTGCAATTTCTAAAGTGGGATTTCTCATGACACTGGGTTGCATGGACTGGCAAATTTCAAGCTTAGACCTTCCATCCACGTTTGCAGGGAGGACAGGCATAAGTGAAGATAGGCATGTATACCCACTACTGAGGGCTATCCGAGTTGCATGTTTCCTGGGTTGTTGTGCCGTAATGCTGGAGGTCCAAAAGGGAGCTGCATATTCCAGAATCGGATGTATATACACATGATAAAACTCACTGAAGTTACTTAAGGGGAGTCAAAAATGATTCAAAGTTTTTAAAAGAGGAGTCTGGAACTAGGTTTACTTGTAATGGATTTAATCAATGGATGACTTCAGAATATTTACATATATTAAATACTAGTAATAAAAATTAGAAACTTAGAAACAATATCAGCATTAAAGCTGACCTGCATATTTGGTGACCAAAAGGGTTACACATTTGATCCAACAGGTGTAAGATGTTCAGTGCAAAATCAATTTTCTCAGTTTCTCAAACCCCAAATTAGTGAAAATTATACTACTTAAGCCACGATCAAAGAAATAATAAAATTGTTAGCCAGAGGCAGGAAACTGGGAGATTATTTTAAGCTCTGCAATGCCACCAAAACGATCACTTGCTAATCATGTGGCTTTGTACTGTGATGAAAACGCCATTGTTTTTTGGCAACAATTACTGTCCTTAACTACACGGCCTAAATGGAATGTCAACATCATTGTGAACTTGATGACTTTCATCTCTAGAGTCTGACTTATTGGAACAACTTTAATCACAGCAAACTAAAATCTAATTCTACTCACTTGAGGGAGCAGAAACTGTGTGGGCACATACATGTACATGTATACATGTAAAGTTGGGGAACAAACCGCGCAGTTGTACCGTTGGATACGAAAGGAACAACAGCCAAAAGACTTTTTCAAACTTACTAATAGATATTCTATCTTTTTTTCTAGAAACGGTAGACATATTAGTGTGACAGGGCGTCATTGTAGCAGGTATACCCAGGACCAAGGGTTACTTGTAAAGCGTGTTTCTGTTCACGTTCAATCTTCCTGGTTTGTTGTACCGGTGTTCAGATGTGGGGGTGTTGGGATGTGGGGGGTACTTTCCAGCCGCCTCCCGAAGCCTGTTATACTAGTTTTCTAGAGGCTTATCAATGGCAGAAATTACTTGTGGAGGGGCAGTCACAGGAGAGCAAATCATCATTACCTTTAAGTTACCTTTCAAAATCATTCGGTTTTACATCTACACTTTCAATTGATCGAGAGATTGATGGATAAGGCTGGGTTCATAGATAGAAATGTCATCAACATGTACATACCGGGTATTTGTAACGGTAATTAAACTGTTGATTTGGAGGGCATCGTTCACATGAATTAAAAAAGAGAATGGGTCGTAACTTTCAAGGTTTTCTGACACACTGTGAATAGTTGAAGATGGTTGCAAAGCCAAGCTTTAAGGCATAACTGACAGGCCCAAAAATCTACCATTTTATTGGTCAATTTTGAGTGGTTAATTCTATCAAAGGCTTCAAAAAAGATGGTTATCAGGATTGGTTGGACATTTTTTTGGCGTTTCAATTAAGACCCAAAGATATCCTAACTCTACACTATTTCAATAGTCAGCACAAGATATTACCACGATTTACATGTAAATTAATTTATAATTTTTGTTACTGCTGTTTTTGCTTCTTTCAATTGTATTTTTGTAAAATCTCTGTCGAATGTATGGATTCTGATTATTTACATCACTTGATATATGCTTGTATAAACTATATCCATATTGATTTTTAAAAAATATTTATAATTATTTGTTCAGCATTGGTAGATGATGTACATCCAGTGTCTTTGATTATGTATTATGTTTTTCTGCATTTTCTTTTAGTGTCTTAAAAGCAAGCACAAGCTTGGCACATAAAGCAAAGTACATAAAGCTTTTATTAATTCATCAAACTATTAAATCATCTATCTAATCATCAAGCTATTCAATTGTGTATTTCTACCCACTGAAAAGACATGCCAGGCTAACACACATACTATTCACATGATCCTTTTTAGCTT